ACCAGTCCGAGGGCGACGCGGCCGACGGCGTCAACGACGCGTTCGCGCGCGCGCAGTCGTGGGCGGCGGACCAGGCGGACAGGGAGGCCTGGGCGCCGTCGGAAAAATGGCACGAGCTCGTCGAGGAGGACAGCGGCCAGAAGTTCTTCTGGAACGAGGCGACGGGCGAGACGCGGTGGGACGCGGACCCGGGCTGGGCGCTCCGCGTCGACGGCGACGGCGCGGAGTACTACGTCCCCGGCCGCCGGCGGCGGAGCCGCCGGCCGTCGTCGTCCCAGGCCGACGACGGCGCGGCCGGCGGGTCGCGGTCCAAGCGGCCGTCGCTCGACGGCCGCTTCTCGAGCATGCGGAGCCGCCTGAACTCCGTCTTCGGCGCGCGGCCGGCGCCCGTCGACGTGAAGGCGTCCGGCTAGTGCGGTGTTAAAGCGTCGACGCGCCGCGGGGGGAATGGGGGGCGGGGCGCGCCGCGGGCCGGAGAGCGCCCGCGGCGGTGCGGGCGCCGGGGGGGGGTCGAGCGAGACGAGGGCCGCGGCGGCGCGGAGGCCGGCCTACTCCTTGGCCTCGCCGTCGTCGACCTTGTCCGCGGCCTGGGCGCCGTGGTTGAGGAGGCCGTCCGTGAACTCGTTGAAGGAGATCTTGCCGTCGCCGTTGACGTCGAGCTGCTTCATGAAGATGTCGACGTCCTGGGGGTTGAAGATCTGCTGCTCGTTGAGGCTGTTGATGAGCTCGACGCCCTTGACGAACTCGCCGCGGTCGAGGACGCCGGAGCCGTCCGTGTCGAGGACGCGGAAGAGCTTGGACATCTCGTCGCGGACGCGGTACAGGTTCTCCTTCGTCTCGGAGGACACGCCCGCGTCGTCGCCGCCGCCGAACGCCGCGTCGAGCTTGTCGGTCATCGACGTGTACGTCACGGAGTCGCCCTTGCAGTGCACGAACTTCTCCTTGAGGTGGAGCCAGGGCAGCTTCACGGGCACGACGGCGTTCATCACGGCGGCCCACTCGACGGCCTTGATGACGCCGGAGCCCGTCACGTCCTTCTCCTTGAGGCCCGCGACGAGCTCGCGGCGGTGGTCGAGGAGCGCGACCTCGACGCGCTGGAGCGCCGCGGACTCCATCTTCGCCGCGCTCTGGGCGATGTTCATCTTCTGGTAGCCCCCCGCGCCGCTGTAGGACGTCGAGTAGGTCAGCAGCTTGCCCGGGGGGTCCTGGAGCGGCGACAGCACGAGCACCGCGCCGTCGTTCTCCTCGTCGTCGCCGTAGTAGTTCGACGCGGAGAAGAGCGTCATGACGCGGCCGTCGTGGGTCACGGAGAAGCCCCGGTCCTGGCACTCGTGGGACCGCACGAGCACGCCCAGTTTGTGGTCGTCGAGCCACTTCTTGGAGAACTCCTTGGAGAACATGATGCCGCCGCCGCGCTCGTCGTTCGGCTTGCAGAGCTGGCCCTTGGGGAACCGCTCGCCGTTCTTCGCCGGGTCGCTCCAGAGGCAGTCCATCATGACGGACCAGTCCTCGTGCGTGTGGCCGTCCTTGTCCTGGCCGTGGGGCGTGTGCGTGATGGCCTGCGGCAGCCCCGTGAGCGTCCGGTAGAGCCGCCGGTTGATGGACCGGAGCCTGTCGAGGTCGAACTTGTCGCTGATGCCGCCGTGGATCACGACGACGTTCTCGTCGATGACGTGGGCCAGGGGCAGCAGCGAGAAGATCGTGTCGACGATCGCGAGGAGGTGGCGGCCGTTCGTGTTCTGCGAGAACTTGTTCACGAGCTCGTCCACAAAGCCGTAGCCCGTGCACACGGTCATGTCCTCGTGGTTGCCCCGGTTGATGTAGATGGACCCCGGGTCCGCGACGGCGAAGCCGAAGAGCAGCAGCGTCACCTCCGCGCTGTAGTCGCCGCGGTCGACCAGATCGCCGTTGAAGAGGTACGGGTTGTCGAAGGACGGCAGGCCGTTGTGGCGGAAGACCTGGATGAGGTCCCGGAGCTGGCCGTGCATGTCGCCGACGACCGTGATCTTCCCCGCGAGCGCCGTGGACACGTGGACCACGGACGGCAGCTTGCGGACCATGTCCATGTAGTTGACGGCGATCTGGAGCGCGTACTTGGCGTGCAGGATGTCCTTGACGCCGTTGCAGTGCTTCTTCTTCTTGGCCTCCTTGCGCGCCTGGTCGTTGAGGCGGTCCATGAGGTCGATGATGGAGTCCTTGGTGATGGGGTCCGGCAGGTCGATGCCCTTGTGGTTGCCCTTGTCGATGTTCATGGGCCAGCCCGACTTGCGCATCTTGTCGATGGTGTCCAGCAGGGCGTCCTTGGCGGAGACCTTGGTCTCGAGCTCGGGCATCTTCTCCGCGAGCTTGCCGATGAAGGAGTCGAGCTTGTTCTCCTTGCGCTCCTTCGCGTACTCCATGCTCGTGTTGATCTGCGTCGCGATCTTCTTCTTCGTCTCCAGGCCGGCCTGGTGCTTGCGGCTCAGGCCCTGCATCTTGACGACGGCCTTGGAGTTGTCGACCTCCACGGCCAACACGGGCGGCGCCTCGACGTGCTGCACGTCCGTGAGCTTCGACGCCGTCTCCGCGATCGCGTTCCAATCCATGATCCGCAGCTCCTTGCTCGACATGTGCTCCTCGATGACGGCCTTGGCCACGCAGCCCTTCGTCGCCATGGTGTCGAACTTGATGTCCATCTGCTCGTTCCACCGCTCGCCCGCGAAGGCGCGGGCCTCATCCTTGCTCACCTGGTCCGCGAGCTGCGCCGACGCTCCGGCGCCCATGCTCGCTGCCTAGTACCGCGGAACCTCCGCGGCGAACGCGGGCGGCCCGATCCCGGAAAAGCGGCGCAACGAAACGACGCCGGCGGCCCCGCGCGCCAGACGCAAAACCAGCGGCGACGCCCGACAAAGCCGTGAGTTCCGGAGCGGCGCTGCCCCGGATATAATCGTTTTGCTGGCCTCGGTGCAATGTAAATATGTATCTAATCGTTGCAGCTCGAATCAGCGATCGAGCAGAGGCAAAGGCCGAAGGATGTCCTCCTACGCCGCCGACGGCGAGCCCGTCGGCAAGAAGACGAAGACGTCGGGCGGCGGCGTCCTCGACCCGGCGCTCTTCGGCGACGCGCGCTGCGCGGCGCTGCGGCGGACCTACGAGGCCGCGACGCCCTTCCCCCACGTCGTCGTCGAGAACCTCGGCCTCGAGGCGCCCATGGAGCGCGCGCGCCTCGAGGCCATCGGCGAGCTCAAGGCGGACTACAAGGAGACGGACCTCTTCAAGGTCTACCAGGTGCCCCAGGACCTGGGCACCATCGAGCGGACCGCGCCGGAGCTCGCGGCGAAAGCGCCCGCGCTGCTCCGGCTCCGCGACGCGCTCTACTCCGCGGAGACGAAGCGCCTCGTCGAGCGCGTCACGGGCTGCGGCCCCATCGGCGACGCCGTCGACTGCAGCGCCAACGTCTACGCGCGCGGGGGCCACCTGCTCTGCCACGACGACGTCATCGGCGACCGCCTCGTGTCCTACGTGCTCTACCTCACGGAGCCCGAGGGCTGGAGCGCGGACGACGGCGGGAGCTTCGAGTTCTACGCCCTCGGCGCCGACGGCGAGCCCGAGGCGGCGCCCTGCGCCCGCGTCGCGCCCGCGTGGAATTCGCTCATGCTCTTCCGCGTCGAGCCGTCGGCGTCGTTCCACAGCGTCCAGGAGGTCTACGGCGACAAGCCGCGCCTCACGATCAGCGGCTGGTACCACGCGCGCGACGGCCGCGACGGCGCCGCGAGCCGCGCGTCCCTCGCGGAGCTCACGCGGCCCGCGGCGCCGCGGACGTTCGCGCGCTTCGCCGGCGACGACGACGGCGACGACGACGCGCTGAGCGACGCGGACCTCGACGCGCTGCGGGCCTGGGTGAGCCCCGTCTACCTCGACCCGGCGACGTGGCCCAAGCTCAAGGACCACTTCGAGGATCCCCCGCCGCACAGTTGGGAGGCTTCGTGCGGGAGGACGTCGCCGCGGCGCTCGCGGCGGCGGGCGCGGTCGCCGACGCCGCGGACGGCTTCGACGGCCGGGGCCCCCAGCCCGACGACGCCGCGGGCGTCGGCGGCGGCTGGGCGCTCCGCGGGCCGCCGCACAAGCGGCGCCACCTCGAGCTCGCGGGCGCGGGCGCCGACGGCTCGCCCGCGGCGCTGCTGGCGCGCGTGCGCGCCGACGCGTCGGGCGCGCCCTTCCGGCGCCTCGTCCGCGAGCTCGTCGGCGTGCGGCCCGTGGGCCAGGACGTCGCGGCGCGCCGGTTCCGGCCCGGGTGCGACTACACCGTCGCGCACGGGGCCACGGGCTGCGACGAGCCGCGCCTCGACCTCACGTTCTGCTTCCTGAGCCACGCCGACCCGGCGGCCTTCGACGCCGACGTCTGGGCCTGCGGCGACTACGGGGGCTTCGAGACGTACGTCGAGGCCGACGGCGGCGGCGACCGCGCGGACGTCTACGAGGGCGACGCGGGCGAGGGCCGCGACGACGGCGGCGACCTCCTCAGCGTCGAGGCGGCGCACAACACGCTCTCCGTCGTCCTCCGCGACCCGGGCACGCTCCGCTTCGTCAAGTACCTCTCCGTGGAGGCGCCGGGCTCGCGCTGGGACCTCGAGATGGTCTGCGAGCTCCACCCGGACGACCACCCGGACCCGGACGCGGGCGACGACGAGAGCGAGGACGAGTAACGCGTATCTCTGACATATGCGACATTCGGGGTCGTTGCGAGGACGGCGCGTAGCTCCGTATATCGGGGACGGGGTCTTACATTCGGGGTGGCGGCGCGTCCTCACATGACGCGCTGGCTCTCGCCGGCGCCGACCGTGATGTACTCGAGCGTGAGGCCGTTGTCGTCCAATTTGCGGATCGACGACGGCTGCGGCGAGAACGTCGGCTTCGAGGTCGTCGGCTTCGAGGACGGAGAGTGCGTTGGTTGGTCGGTGGGTAGGGGGGTTGGGAAATCCGACATGATCGGCACTTCCCCGTCTCCGTACGTCGGCTTGGACGATACGGCCGAGGGGCGTGGGGTCGGCGCGTCCGAGGGGCGCGGGGTCGGGAACGGCGTCGTCGGCTCGGGGTTCGTCGGCGCGTAGGAGGGGTCCGCGGTGGAAGGGCTGTACGTCGGGATGGACGTGGGTTCGTACGTCGAGGACGTGGGTTCGTACGTCGAGGTAGTGGGTGCGTAACTAGGGCTGGAGGTCGGATTCGCCGTCGGCGAATACGACTCGACGTCGTCGAGGCGCCGGCCGCCCCCCGTCGTCGCTCGTCGGATTCCGAACCGCTCGAAGATGTTCTGCGCAGAGGCCAGGGCCGCGAGAACGACTAGTCTGATCATTTTTGTGAGCCCGGGGGGGGGGGATCGACGGCCCGCGAAACAGTCGTCGCCACGGGTGCACACCTCGCGTCGAGGATTTTTGGTCGCTCGACGTTCGATGCACCAACGCCGGATGGAGTCGTCGATGGACAAGGCTTGGACACGTCGGCGCCTCGACCGACGACGCCGTCGTCGAACGACCGCGCGCCGACGCCCCCACCAGCCCCGCCGGCCCCTTCGAAGAAGAAAAAAAGAGGCGCTCTACACGAGGTCCGGCGGCGGCGGCGTCACGAGCCCCGCCTCGTCGCGCGGGTCCGACGCGTAGGACAGGTCCGCGTGCGCGGGCGACAGGCGCTCCGCGTCGTCGTCGGACGCGTCGTCGTCGAGGCTCTGGTGGAGCGAGTGGTCGGAGAGGTCGATCTCCGTGACCGTCTCGATGACCAAGGGCTCGTCCTCGAAGCCGTCGTCCTCCGCCGCGACGAACGCCGCGAGCGTGCCCTCGTGGACGACGCTCGACGGCGCGCGGACGCGGTCCGGCGCGTCGCGCTCCGTGCCCGCATAGTCCTCGCCGACGCTCCGCCGCTCCCGCGCCTTGAAGGCCCGCCGCGGCCGCGCCGCGCGCGGCCGGCTCGCGGCCGCGCGGCGCCGCGGGTCCTCGCCGAGCGACGACGGCTCGTAGGGGTCGTCCGCGCCCGCCGCACCCGGGCTCACGTAGGGCGCCGGGCTCAGGGCGAACGCCGGCGGCGCCAGCGCGCCGTAGGTCCGCCGCGGCGTCGAACCGCGCGGCGACGTCAAACCCGCGGCGAAGGACGACGACAGCGCGCGGCCGTCGTTGGACGCGCCCGACCGCGCCGCGAGGAGGCCCCGGCCCTTGACGCGCCGCACGAGGCGCATGAGGCTCGGCCCGCGGTCCAGCGCGGGCCTCGAATCCGGGGGCCGCCGCGGCGCGAGGCCGAGGTACTGGTCCTCGAGCGCCTCGGCGATGCGGACGGCGTTCGAGATGAAGTGGTAGGACACGCAGGCCGCGAGGAGGCCCGCGACGACGGCCTGGGCGAGGAAGACGGCCGGCGGGTCGTAGAAGTGGAGCGTCGGGACGACGAGCGACGCGACGATCGCGCCGGCCATGTAGCCGACGCGCTGCCCCGTGCAGTAGTACGCGAACAGATCCTCGTTCGTCGTGTAGACCTCGAGCACCCTCCCCACAATCCGGTTCGAGAAGTCGACGGCGAGGAGGCCGCCGGCGGCCGCGGCCGCGACGGCGGGTGCGCTGCCGGGCCAGCAGGCCGCGACGCTGTAGCCCGCGGAGCTCAGCGCGATGGCCGCGGCCGCGTTCTTCGGCGAGAAGCTCACGCCGGCCGCGGGCCAGGCCAGGCCCTGGAGCGCCTGGACGACCATCGTCGCGCCCAGCAGGAGGCTCAGCGACGCGCCGCCGAGCCCGAGCTCCGCCGTCCAGGCGAGGCCGAGGCCCACGAACGTCGCGGACTCGAGGTAGCCCAAACCCGCGACGAGGCCTACCAAACATGACGGTGACGATCTCTCATTGTTTTCCCACCCCAAATCTCTCGAAAATCGTCACGGCCACAGGACGCTGGACGAGGCCCCAGAGCAGCTTGAGCTGCCGCGACCCGTCGAGGTCCCGGAAGACGTCCTCCTCCTCCTTGCGCCCCGGGGACAGCGGCGACGGTATTCTCGCGCGCGGCCGCGCGTCCCGGCGGCGCAGGAGCGCGGCCTGGGACGCGCAGCAGACGCAGCACGCGAGGAACGACGCGCCCGCGACGGCGCCGACGCCGAAAAGCTCGTAGGCGCCGGCGCCGAGCGCGCTGCAGATGGCCCCGCAGACGAGGCAGCTCCAGGCGTGCTGGACGACGGCGTCGAAGCGCTCCGGCGCGAGGCCCTCGTCGTTCAGGCGCATGGGCATGGCCGCGATGGGGCAGAACGCGCCCGTCAAAGCCAGCGGCCACGCGCAGCGAAACGAGCCCGCGACGCCCGCCGCGCCGACGCCGACGCCGGCGGCGGCGACGACCTGGCCGGCGAGCGTCCAGCCGTAGCGCGGCGCGAGGCCGACGAAGATCAGCTTGACCAAATTGTAGAGCGCGAACCAGCAGCCCAGCAGCCAGGTCGGCCGCGTGCCGCCGTCCTGGAGCCAGTAGAGCTGGATGACGCCGTTGCTCAACGCGAAGGTCGCGAAGGCGCCGGCGGCGGGCCAGACGCCGTAGAGCACGCGCAGGTCTTTCTCCATGATGCCGTCAGGATGCCAAGCGACGCCGCTCCTCCATGACGGGCTGGACATGGATGACTGGAGTGTTTGATTCAACAGGTTGATGGTGCACCATGGTGAAGGTGTTGCAGGGCATGGACTCAGGGCTCTCTGATCCTTGAGACGCGACGCGCTCCAATGGCCGAAGGACGCACCTCGGAGGCACCCATCGTCATCCAGGACGACGACGAAGCGAACCAGCCAGCGAAGCGCGCCGCGGAGGTCATCGTCATCGACGACGCCGACGACGACCCGGCGGCCAAGCGGCGGCGCACGGCGGACGACGACGACGCCTCGCTGGCGCTCGCGCGCGAGCTCCAGTCGCAGGACGACGCGCGCGCGCGCGAGCCGCTGCCGGCCCGCGGAGGCGCGGCGTGCGCCGTCTGCCTCTGCGACGTCGAGCCCGGCGACGGGCTCCGGCTGCGCGCGTGCGGCCACGAGCTCCACGCGCGGCGCGCGCGGCGAAAACACCAACTCTACGCCGCGCCGCGTCCGCCGCGCCCGCCGCGACGGCGGGACCGAGCGCATTCGAACGGTCCAAGAATGAGCCGAATCCGTCGCGATCGGGCCGAGCGGCCGAGCGCGCCGGTCCCGCGGGTCCGCGGGCACCACGACGCGACGTCCCCGCGTCTTCCGCGCCGCCGCGACCACCGGCGGGGTCGGTCCGAAGCACCGGTGCGTCCTCCGGCGCCGCGGGCCGCGCGCCGACGGCAAAGCGCCGGCGTCGCGCCCCGGAGCGACGCCTCGGCCGCCGAGTGCTCTGCATTTTGCACGACGACGCTCGTCGTGAGCCCGTGCAGGGACGGCGACGGAGGCCCGGCGGCGCGCGTGCCTCTCACGGACGCGCGCAACCCGCGGTGCGGGCGATATATGACGGATTAGACTTGGTAAAATCTCGTGAGGCCGGAGAGCATGCCGGGCAAGTGCTTGCTAAAGCGATCGCTAAACCACGGCTCCCAGCGTCTCCGCCGGCCGTCCAGCGGGTCGCGAGCTCCGGCCACCGCTCCGCCCGCCGCTCCCCGCGCCCCGACGCGGACGTCCCGCCGGCTGCGGGGTTCGCTGCGGCGACCGGTGGCAGCGCCGCGGTCGGCGCGCGGTCCGCGCCGACGGAGGCATCGGCCGCGTCGACGCGGTCCTCCAAATTTTCGATCGGAGGTCTGGGAGCGGTCCTGGGGACGCTCCGGGGGAAGTGCACGAGGCACGGCCCAAAATCTCCGGGCACGGTGTTTTCGGGTTTCGTGTCAACGTGGACTTCAAACAGAATGTCCACAACTCGCCAGGATCTTGAGCTCGAAGCGAGTCGATCTCGTGCGCCGCCGCGTCTCTCGCCCCGCGCGCGCGCCCCGGGGCCCCGCGCGGCCCGCGCGCCCCGCGCGACGCCCCGCGCGCCCCACGAGCCCGCCCGAGCGCCGCCACACACCCACAATCACCGTTTCGCTCACAGGTGCTGATCGATTTGTGTCAAGCCATGGCCAAGGACAAGGCGTCGACGCGCAAGCCCCGCCGGCGCAACGCCCGGGCGCGCGACGACGGCGGCACGCGGCGCGCGACGGAAGCGACGCCGCCCGTCCGGGCGTCGAAGCGACTGTCCGTGCAGGTGTCCGCGGCCGCGTCCGCGTTCCTCGTGAACTTCCGCGTCCGCATGGACGCGATCGCGTCGATCTTCGTCAACTACCACGAGGAGCGCCAGGAGTTCGTCGCGAAGACCGAGGCCGCGGACCTCATCGAGCAGAACGTCGCCGAGATGATGGGGGTCGTGTACCGCGGCGCGTCCCCGCGTCCGCCGGCGAGTTTGAAAATTTTCCCGCCCCGCCCCGCGCCTCGCGCGGTCCCTCGCGCTCGCCCCGCCGGGCGCGACCCACCATCGCTTCGGCGCGCGCGAGCGAGCCCTGTCATCCCCGGCGCGCAGGCATGCTCGACTCGACCGCGGACGTGCTCGCGGCGGCCGTGCTCCGCGACCGCTCGGCGTCTCGACGGTCCCGCGCGCGCGTGCTCCGGGGCGGGGGCGGGGTCTGGCGCGCGCGCGCGCGCGCGAGCGACTGCACGGACACGTCCTTCGCCCCCGCAGGCACGGAGTGGAAGGACGACGCGTCCGCGGAGGACGAGGGCCGGTCGCGCAAGCACCTGTCGGCGCGCGGCGCCGCGACGCCCCCCGACGGCTTCGGGGCCACGTCCATCCCCCGCAGGTCGCGGCTCGCGCGGCGCGTCGCGTCCTTCCACTGGGGCAACCTGCCCGTCGCGCGGCGTCCGCGAACGCGTCCCCGGAACCGACGACGCGCGCGCGCGCCCGACGCGTCGCGTCGCCGCCCTCGAGCCCCCGCTCGCGCAGGACGTCGCAGATCGCCGACGAGGGCGGCCCCGCGACGCACCAGCTCGTCGCGGCGACGGTCATCCCGGACCGGTCCGCGGCGCGCCGCGGCGCGCGCGCAATCGCCACGGAACCGTCGCGCGCCGACGGCCGCGGCTTCGCCCCGCGCAGTTGCTGATCCAGTTCGTCGTGCTCCCGCGCAAGATGGGCACGGGCCGCGACTCGCTCGAGGTGCGCGACCCGCGCCCCGGGCCCCCCGCCGCGTGCCGCGCGCCGCGGAAGCGGCGGAAGCGACGAGCCCGCGCGCGTCCCCGCGCAGTCGGACGAGAACGTCGTCACGTGCTTCATCGACGCCGCGGCGACGCTCAAGCGCGCGCGCAAGCAGGGCCTGCTCCGGCCCGTCGCCCCGCGTCCTTTGAACGCGCGCGTCGCGCGTCGACGTCGTCGCTTCCGAACGACTTCGATCGCCGTCGCGCGCGCGGGGCCCCCCGTCACGGGCCGCTCGAGCTTCCGCGACCCGTCCGGGTCCATCCCCGATGACCTCGACCCCGTCGCCCGCAGGCTCCAGTTCGACTTCGTCCTCATGCTCTGCCGCCGGCTCGGCGTGAAGGACGTCTTCCTCTTCGCGACGGAGGCCGGCGCCCCGGCCTGGCTCACCCTCGGCTTCGAGCACGTCGGCAGCTCGGCGTCGCTGATCCACCTGCGCTTCGACCTGCTCTTCAAGCGCGACCGCGGCGTCCTCGCGCGCTCCGCCCGCGGTCCCGAGACGTCGCGCCTCGCAGCTGCTCGATGGACCGCGCGCTCAAGATCTTCAGCGACTCCGCGGGCCTCTACCCCATGGTGCGTCGCCTCGCGCGCGCCTCGCGCTCGCGGGCCTCGACGCGCGTCTTCTAGGCGTTGAACATCGAGGGCGAGGCCTTCGACGACGACGAGTCGTTCACGCGCGCGCTCCGCGTCCTGGAAACGCCCCTCACGACACCTCACCCGCGCCGTTCATAGGTCCGCCGTCCAGGAGCGCGTCGCGGAGTACGGCGAGAAGCAGGTCGTGCGCCTCGCCAAGGAGGCCGCGAACGCCGCGGCCGAGGCCGAGGCCGAGAACGACGACGACGTCCCGGCCGCGGCCGCGGACGTGCCGGAGCACGACCTGCTCGCGGCGCCGTCGCCGCCGCGCGCCTCGTCGCCCCCGGCGCCGCCGGCGGCGCCGTCGCCGTCGGCGCTCGCGGACGCGTCGTCGTCGCCGCCGCGCGAGGCGGCCGCCGCGCCGACGTCGCCCGAGGCCGCGGAGCCCCTCGAGGCCGCGCCGCCGGCGCCGGCGCCGCGCCGCTGCGCCGCCGCGTCCAAGAAGCGCGTCGTCGACGACGCCGACGCGGACGACGAGGACGAGGCCTGGGAGCCGGGCCGGCCGTCGATGATGGACCTCGACGACGACGAGCAGGAGCAGGCCGCGAAGGCCAAGCGCAAGCTCAAGCGGCGGTC